CTTCGTTTAATTTTAAGAATAATAGAAATATAAGGCAAGTATAAACTTTCTTAATAATTAAATAAATTAATTAATAGAGACGGGAACTAGTAAGAAATAATTAATAATAAGTTTCTTAGAAGTATTAGCGGGACGTTATAATAAATAAAATCGCTATTGCTTATAAAAAATAAAATTAAGGTAACTTAAAATAAGTTTATAAAATTTAATAATATTATATATTAAGTTTAAAAATAATATCTTTATTTAAATATATATTAATTACTTAATTTAACTTAATTATAACTTAATTATTACTTTTTTACTTTATTATTATATTTAATTTATATATATTATAATTATATAAAGTATAAGCATTATAATTATGAAAATAAAGAAAGTATAAAAAAGTAGTATTTTTAATTAAAGAATTAAATAAGAGAGAAGTATAGAAAATACGTTTTATTCATTATATATTAATTGTATATTAAGCTTATATATGTAATAATACTATAATATATAGTTTATAATTAAGTATAAAAGGCCTTTATTAAAGTTTTAATTTTAATATATCTTAAATTAAAGCTTCTCGTAAATACTTATATATATAATAGTATTAATAAATACATATAATTCGTTTATAAGTAAATTCGTCTATTCTTGTACTAGTTCCCTTATTATATATTATCTTTATATACTCGCGTATTAATTAGTATTTGTAGTAATTATTTAAAAGAGATCGCGAGTAAAGAATAAGTTAAAGTAGTCGAATAAGTGTGCGTTTAATAGAAAAGAAGTAAGTAAGAGTGCTTTTACTATCTGCTTAGGCTCGCACTTAAAAGGCTTATAGGAAACGCTTGTGATTAGTCCAAGTTAAAGGAGTATATCCTTAAGGGATTAAGATTTTTGCTTCTTAGGTTATATAGGTGGGTTGGATGTATCGTCCATTGCGCGCGCGCGTAAGTGGAGAGAAATGCCTGGACGCGCTACATCCAATTGATGTATCTTACTAATAAATTTGTATGCAAAGGTATATAATTTTATGCTATGTGGTCTGAGCGAGACTCCCCTGCTTAGCGCTGGCAATGTCTCAGTGGACGAAGGGATAAGTGAAGGCATGCTAACCTCGAGTGGATCAAGGGAATCTAAAATTAGGCAGTAAGCGAAGGAGCTTCAACTTGACGCAATGCTGACTCGAATGGATCGAGGGAAGCTAAAATTAGGCAGTAAGCAAAGGAGCTTCAACTTGACGTAGGGGAAGGCATGCTGACCTCGAGGCATTGGTCTATAATACGAGGGACACAGAGCGCACAGATCTCATGCCATAAATTAGAGTCTTGTGCAAGGGAACGAAACTAAAAGTAGGTGCATGCTGACTCTAAGGGACATAGAGGGCATAGATCTCGCGCCTTAAATTAGAGTCTTTGTACAATGGAAGGCATGCTAACTCTAATTCCAAATATAAGTGCAATGTATGTCTAAGGCAAGTATCCTTGGGTAAACTGTTAATATTAGCATAAATTTTATATCTATGTCTTGCCCTATAGTCCTCTACCTAAGTCCTTGAGTTTCTAACCCCCAAAGTATTCTTTTAGGCGACTATTATTCGAATCGGGTTATACTACGGTATTTGGAGGCCGATTTGAGTCAAATTGGAGCCCGCCTCATGTAGAGGACACCTATATAGATGGGGTCCTTGGAGCTCCCTTGGGAAACTTGTATCTTTCTATTCTCCTTTATAGCCGGCCTATAGTCGGTCCGATCCAAAAGCGACAAAAAAAAAAAAAAACCACCATAATACTAATTAATATAAATCGTATTAATTAAAACTATACTATATACTCTAGGAATTAATTCTATATTCTCAAAATTATAATATCTTTATTATTAAGGAAGTTATAATATACGTAATTAAGTAAGGAAATATATTCGCATTTTATATAGTCGTTTTTTTACTTTAGTTATTACATAACTACCTCCCTAAGTTAACTACTCTTCCATAATTATATTAATATCTCAATAACTATAAACCCAATTAAGTACCCTTTTTAAATACTTCTAATAACTACCTCTATAAGCCTTTAGAAGTATAAGCGAGCTAATTTAACTCTTAATTCAATTATAGTTCTTACCCTAGCTAAAGAAGCTATAATTCAAGCAACTATTAATAAATAGTATAGAAAACCCTCTAATATAGAGAATAATTCTAATAATTCAGATATTAAACCAAGTAATAAAGTAAAGCTTAAAGATTTGATACTTTTTTGGGTTTAGCGGAAGCTTTTTATTAGTAGTAATAAGATAATTATTTTAGAGAAGCCTATAATTATATAGCGAGATTAGAGACTTATAGAATAAACTAGTAAGTTTCTTACCTTATTTTCTTATTTTTATATTATAATATAAGTATATTAAGACTATTTCTAGCTTCTAGAGGCTCATATAACTCTAAATTAATAAAGGAATTAGTAAAGCTATTAAGAACTTAATAATAATATATATATAATTAGAGGGCAAAAGATACTTAAGTTATAGAGTAATCTAGTAGGCTTAAAACCTCTATAATTATATTATCTTTTAAATAAAAGAGGCTATAATTCGATATTATTAGAGGGCTAATTAATATCCCTAGGGATATGTAATTAAGGGAAGAGTAAAGGCTTAAAGATAAAAATAATAGAACTAACGAGCTACTTTTGGATACCCTTATTAGAAATGCTTGCGGAAATAACGAAGCTCTAGATATATGAATAACTTATTAAGAAGTTCTTAATAATATAGATATTAAGCTAGCTCAAACCAAAAAGCTATATACTTTATATATAATTACTAACTTATACTTACTCTAGTAATATACCTAATAGCTTCTAAAGCTAGGGCAATATTGACTTGGAAGGGTTAATGCATTACTCTTAGTAGCTTCTAGTAATTACTATTTTAATAATAGAAAGATACTAGCTCGGCAAATTAGGGGGCTATTTAATTATTATTAATAGTAGCATGGCATTTTATAGGAAACTAGGGATAGTAAAAGAGATAGTACCTCTTATCTGGATAATAAGGATATTTTTCTAGCCTACCGGACTTGGTTAATTAATTAAGAGCTTGAAATAATATTACTAAATAATTTCCTGAATATTATTAATTAGGAGATTTTACCTCGATTATTATTAATAATAGAAAAGCCTATTACTTGTAGTATAGCCTACTTATGGCTCCCTAGGCTCGGCTTTTATTACTATGAGACTAAGAAAGGGCTTTATATAAATAGATATAAATAACCTAATATAATTTAGTATTATTAAGAGATATTTTTACTATTAATAAAGAAGCTTTTATTATATATAGTTTAATATGAGGAGGATAAAGCTAGTATATAGTATATAATTTAATCTTTACTTCTAATTAGAGTTTAGATATATATAATATACTTCTATAATAAGAGCTATTTCTATGGATTTAACTATAAAAAGAGCCTCTGGCTAGTAAATAATTAGCAAAAAATACTAGGAAAGAGTAAAGAGAGACTAATTTATGATTCTGAATTTATAGGATCTAAGGGGCATATTAGGATATTAAATAATAAAGGCATTTTTATCCCGGATAATCCCGATTTAAATATCTATTAAATTATATATCCAGGCTTAAATAGGGACTTCTAGTAAGATATAAAATAGCTATTAGTATAGATTACTAGAATACTTAATATATTTAAATAGAAGTACCCAAACTATATAGCTATTCTAATATTTAATTAGTTTTTTATATATGCTTTATATGGCAAAGGTATACTAAATACCTTTGGTATAAATAAGTTACTAGGGGAAGTTAAAAAGAGTAATATTAAGGCCTATAAAAGAAATATATATTTTTTACTAAAATATATAATTCTGGGATTATAAGGCACTATTTAAGCCCTTTAGTAACTTAATCCAAATAGAGAAAGAGAGCCTAAGAATATAGAATAAATTCTTATTAAGCGAGATTATAATATACCTGGCTTAAGATTTAAGTATCTAAAGAGTACTAAATATACTATATCCCTTAAATACCCTCCTGCTATTAAATAAATGTACTATTTAGCTCATATACTATTGAATTACTAAAACTTCTTTAAAGAGAAGTCCTAAGTTAAAGAGCTTATTATAGATCGGGGATATAAGGCTATATTTTTACCGAAGTTTCACTACGAAATTAACCTAATTAAGATATACTAGGAATATAGCAAAACTCAATATTATTAAGTAAAGAAGGCTAGCTTCCTAGATACCAAGATTAAGGTAATAGAGGCACTTAAAGCTTATTTAATTAAGACTATACGGAGGTTTTATAATTATATATTCCGCTAGATAAATATATATCAGAAAGAATTAAGTATTAAATAAGCTACTTGGTATATACGGAAGCAAAAATGCTATAGAATAATATCTAAAAAGATAATAGACAAATAAGATAATATGCAAAAGTAAGGAAAAGAAAGTAGCTAAGTAATAAGTAAGGTTTATAGATTTAGTTTGACTAAAAGTTAGCTTGAAACTCATATAATTAGGGCCCTACTATATATATAATATATATAGTACTAGAAAAAGCTATATTTAGTATTTAGGAAGATTTACTTAAGCTTATAGGACTTAGTTATTATTATTATATTAATAATAAAGCTAGTAAGATACCGCGATCTCTCCCTAAAGTCCGGGATCACGTGACCTTAGCAAGCAAATATATTCGCATTTTATATAGGGGAAAATCAAAAAAGTAAAAAGGATCCGTATACTTTAAGCCTCAATTATTAATAAACCACAAATTATATTAAAAATCTAATTAATAGGTATTTTTCGCCTGCTTCTATTCTATAATTATATTACTTAGTATATATTAATTAGGGTTATGATTAAAAAGTTATTATAGGCGTAAAAGAGCGACCGTTTTGTCGCTTTTGAATCGGACCGACTATATAAGATTTATCACGACTCAGAGACCACGCCAACAATTTTCTGGGAATCTATCTCATCAATCCGATAATGGCAGAAAGTTTGTCAGAGACGCAACATCTCTCGGGCTGCCTTCCAGAACGTTTATCTATACTGGTGATTGGTGATTTAGGTCTCGATGAGTATGTAACGGGCGATGTCTCCCGGGTTGCTTTCGACCGCCCTATTCCAGTACTAAGGGCGAGCGATACTTTGCGAACTCCCGGAGGAGCTGCGAATCTTGCTCAGAACCTAGTCAGTCTGGGACCAGAGATCCAGGTACACTTGCTCGGTGTAGTGGGGGACGATAGCGCAGGAGCTTCTCTCACTGGCCTTCTTGCTGAACAAGGTATCTTGACTCAAGATGTCCAGACTATCGCAAACAGGCCTACAACACATAAGCTGCGTGCTGTTGCGCAAATGGATCATTATCTTGTGCGAATCGATAGAGAATCTACAGAGGCTATCCCGAAATCTGTCGAAGAAGTCTTATTAGCAGCTGTCCGCTCCCAACTTCCACATGTCCACGGCTTGATCTGCTCGGATTACAACAAGGGTTGCTTAACACCTTCTTTGCTTCAGGCAATCATAAATGAAGCACACCTATCCAAGAAACCGGTGATTATCGACCCAAAAGGTTCTAATCACGCGAGATACGTACAGTCAGTCCGATCCAAAAGCAACAAAACGGTCGCTCTTTTACGCCTATAATAACTTTTTAACTATAACCCTAATTAATATATACTAAGTAATGTGATTATAGAATAGAAGCAGGCAAAAAATACCTATTAATTAGATTTTTAATATAATTTGTGGTTTATTAATAATCGAGGCTTAAAGTATACGGACCCTTTTTACTTTTTTGATTTTCCCCTATATAAAACGCGAATATATTTGCTCGCTAAGGTTACGTAATCCCGGACTTTAGGGGAAGATTATAATATCTTACTAGCCTTATTATTAATATAATAATAATAACTAAGCCCTATAAGCTTAAGTAAACCTTCCTAAATACTAAATATAGCTTTTTCTAGTACTATATATATTATATATATAATAGGGCCCTAATTATATGGGTTTCAAGCTAACTTTTAGCCGAACTAAATCTATAAACCTTACTTATTACTTAGCTACTTTCTTTCTCTTACTTTTGCATATTATCCTATTTATCTATTATCTTTTTAGATATTATTCTATAGTATTTTTGCTTCCGTATATACCAAGTAGCTTATTTAATACTTAATTCCTTCTAATATGTATTTATCTAGTAAAATATATAGTTATAAAACCTCTATATAGTCTCAATTAAATAAGCTTTAAGTACCTCTATTACCTTAATCTTAGTATCTGGGAAGCTAGCCTTCTTTACTTAATAATATTAAGTTTTGCTATATTTCTAGTATATCTTAATTAGGTTAATTTCATAGTAGAACTTTAGTAAAAACATAGCCTTATATTCCTGATCTATAATAAGCTCTTTAACTTGGGACTTCTTTTTAAAGAAGTCTTAGTAATTTAATAGTATACAAGCTAAATAGCACGTTTATTTAATAGCAGGAGGGTATTTAAGGAATATAGTATACTTAGTATCCTTTAGATACTTAAATCTTAAGCCAGATATATTATAATCTCGCTTAATAAGAATCTATTCTATATCCTTAGGCTCTCTTTCTCTATTTGGATTAAGTTACTAAAGAGCTTAAATAGTGCCTTATAATCCCGGAATTATATACTCTAGTAGAAAGTACGTATTTCTTCTATAGGCCTTAATATTACCCTTTTTAATCTTCCCTAATAACTTATTTATACCAAAGGTATTTAGTATATCTTTACTATATAAAGCATATATAGAAAACTAATTAAATATTAGAATAGCTATATAGTTTAGGTGCTTCTATTTAAATATATTAAGCATTCTAGTAATCTATACTAGTAGCTATTTTATATCTTACCAGGGGTCCCTATTTAAGCCTAGATATATAATTTAATAGGTATCCAAATCGGGATTATCTGGGATAAAAATGCCTTTATTATTTAGTACCCTAATATGTCCCTTAGGTCTTACGAATTCAGAATCGTGAATTAGCCTCTCTTTACTCTTTCCCGGTATTTTTTGCTAATTATCTACTAGCTAGAGGCTCTTTTTATAGTTAAATTCATGGAAATAGCTCTTATTATAGAAGTATATTACATATACCTGAACTTTAATTAGAAGTAAAAATTAAATTATATACCATATACTAGCTTTATTTTCCTTATATTAAACTATATATAATAAAAGCTTCTTTATTAATAGTAAAAATATCTCTTAATAATACTAAATCATATTAGGTTATTCATATCTATTTATATAAAGCCCTTTCTTAGTCTTATGGTAATAAAAGCCGAGCCTAGGGAGCCATAAGTAGGCTATACTACGAGTAATAGGCTTTTCTATTATTAATAATAATTGAGGTAAAATCTCCTAATTAATAGTATTTAGGAAATTGTTTAGTAATATTATTTCAAGCTCTTAATTAATTAATTAAGTCTAGCAGGCTAGAAAAATATCCTTATTATCTAGATAAGAAGTACTATCTCTTTTATTACCCCTAGTTTCCTGCGGAATACCATACTACTATTAATAATAATTAAATAGCCCCCTAATTTACTAAGCTAGTATCTTTCTATTATTAAAGCAATAATTACTAGAAGCTATTAAGAGTAATATATTAACCCTTCCAAGTTAATATTACCCTAGCTTTAGAAGCTATTAGGTATATTACTAGAGTAAGTATAAGTTAGTAATTATATATAAAGTATATAGCTCTTTAGTTTGAGCTAGCTTAATATCCATATTATTAAGGACTTTTTAATAAGTTATTTATATATCTAGAGCTTTATTATCTCCACAAGCATTTCTAATAAGGGTATCTAAAAGTAGCTTATTAGTTCTATTATCTTTATCTTTAAGCCTTTACTTTTCCCTTAATTATATATCCCTAGGGATATTAATTAGCCCCCTAATAATATTGAATTATAGCCTCTTTTATTTAAAAAATAATATAATTATAAGGATCTTAAGCCTACTAGATTATTCTATAACTTAAGTATCTTTTGCCCTCTAATTATATATATGTTATTATTAAGTTCTTAATAGCTTTACTAATTTCTTTATTAATTTGGAGTTATATAAGTTTCTGGAAACTAGAAATAGTCTTAGTATACTTATATTATAATATAAAAATAAGAAAATAAGATAAGAAACTTACTAGTTTATTTTATAAGTCTCTAATCTCGCTATATAACTATAGGCTTCTCTAAAATAATCGTCTTATTACTACTAATAAAAAGCTTCTACTAAACCCAAAAGAGTATTAAATCTTTAAGCTCTACTTTATTACTTGGTTTAATATCTAAATTATTAGAATTATCCTCTATATTAGAGGGTTTCCCATACTATTCGTTAATAATTACTTGGATTATAGCTTCTTTAGCTAGGGTAAGAACTATAATTAAATCAAGAGTTAAATTAGCTCGCTTGCGCTTCTAAAGGCTTATAGAGGTAGCTATTAGAAATATTCAAAAAGGGCACTTAATTAGGTTTATAGTTATTAAGATATTAATATAATTATAGAAGAGCAATTAATTTAGGGAGATAGTCACGTAATAACTAAAGTAAAAAAACGACTATATAAAACGTGAATATATTTCCTTGCTTAATCACGTATATTATAACTTCCTTAATAATAAAGATATTATAATTTTGAGAACATAGAATTAATTCCTAGAATATATAGTATAGTTTTAATTAATATGATTTATATTAATCAGTATTATGGTGGTTTTTTTTTTTTTTTGTTGCTTTTGGATCGGACCGACTGTAGGCGCCTCCGTTATAAAACCAAACTTGCAAGAACTGCAAACTTTAACCTCAACACCGGTCCACAGCGATCAAGAAATCGATGCAGCAGCAATGAAGCTATTGTATCATACCAACGTTGAGGCTCTCGTGTTGACAAGAGGCGAAGCTGGAGTCAACATTTATGGCCGAGAGGGACTCATAAAATCCATCCCAGCTCATCACGTTAGAGGAAACGTATGCGACATCAATGGTGCTGGTGATACATTTATGGCCGCATTTGCGCTTACGTACTGTAATGGTGCGAGTCTCTTGGATTCAGCAAAAATGGGAAATGCTGCAGCTGGCTTGGTCGTCCGTAGGAAGGGCACGGCTACTGTGTCGCGTGGAGAACTTCTACAGCAACTATCTCCAGGGCTTCTGAACATTCCTTCCCCTTTTCGAGAAACCAAGAAAAAGTTCGTGGATCTTGATGAGCTGCTACAACAGCTGGAGTCTATTCGGAAAGCGGGTCCCAGAGTGATCTTCACGAACGGATGCTTCGATTTGCTTCATGCGGGTCATGTCGAGCTTCTCGAAGGCGCCAAATCTCTGGACGGTATCTTAGTAGTGGCTGTCAACACAGACGAATCCATTGCTCAACTGAAAGGTCATAAGCGTCCTGTCATCCCACAATCTCAGAGAGTCCGTGTTTTAGCGGGGCTTGCGTGCGTTGACTTTGTCATTCTCTTCGAAGACCCGACCCCAATGAGACTAATCTCTGCAATTCGACCCGACGTGTTGGTCAAGGGGGCTGATTATGCTAGCCATCAGGTTGTGGGACGCGATTTGGTTGAAAGTTGGGGTGGAAATGTCACTCGGCTGCCTTTGATTGAGGGGGTCTCAACAACGAGAATCTTGAGTAATATTATACAGAGGCAGAAAATGCCGTGAGATATTTGCCGAATTCAATTTGAAGGGAGTTTTGTCTAGGGTTGACTGAAGGTAGAATATATAAAGCCTCTTCCCAGAAACCTGAGTTAGGTGGAGGCCAGATGCAGTACAGCGGAGCGTGTATTGCCATTTTTGATTCAGACGTAGCAAGGGCTATAGATTTTCATTCATTATATCAAACCATATCACTTCCATTTCTCTTAAAGATGACCAAGAAAAGTATGTAATATGGGCTTTTTGGCACGCAATCTCATATCTCACGCCCCACCGGCTCCACAAAAGGCTCCGTAAGAAATAAACAACTCGTCGCTACTGTTTTCCAGTTTCACAAACGCCCCATCAGCAAGGAAGAAAACATAACCAAGTTCAATATTATCAATGTTCCCGTCAACGCTAATTGTTCCTTTGCCCTGCTCGCAAATGAGAATGCTCGGGCCAATCGTTGGGCCGAAATTTGCTTGTGTCCCTTTATGACCTAAGGTTATTCTTCCAACTTTGTACTCCTCCGCTGGGGGATTGTACAAGACAGCGGTCGAAACAGACGGTGACTGATGCTCAGAAAATTTGACTCCATTGTTAGGTACGGGCGCAATTCTTCTAGGAAGACCGTCGGAGAAATTAAGCAGAGGTATAAGGTGTTCTATATCTTTGATTTTGTGAGTGAAACCAGCTCGAATGATGTTGTTAGAGGATGCCATGCACTCTATAACATCTATATTTGACGTTAGTGTGCAATTAGAAAGTCCGAGAAGCTTTGTGTTTCCCTACCTCCTTTGAGATATGCATGCAATTCACCAGACTGAATAAACAATGCCTCTCCGGGATCTAATCTTACATGATTCATGAAGAACATGATGAATAGCCCTATATCGTCGGGGTGTTCTTCGTAGATTCGAATAACAAGTTCAGCGAGGCCCGGAGACTCAAGGCCCGTATTTTGACTCCTTCGTTCTTTGGATGATTGCGCCAAGACAACAAGTTCTCTACAGCATGCCTTGACTCTTTCGCTGTCTGCAGCTAACAAGGCAACAAAAGCATTTCTGATAGCTATTTCTGCCTCTTGATCACTGTCATTTCCCATCCTTGCCGCTAAATGTACACCCTGAGTAGCTTCATCTCCGACAAGCTGTTGGAATGGGCCGATCCGAGATAGAAGGCCTGATAGTTCTTCAACTGAGCGAAATCCACATAGCGTCTCAAACGTAGTAAGTGCAATAACCATTTCTGGTTTGTGATTTTTGTCTTTTCTCGGTGTTTATCGTTAGCCAGAACTTTCTGGGCGTTAATATCATCTCTTCTTACCTGGATACACGGCACTGTCTAGAAGATGTAGTCTTTCAGCAAGTACCTTGTCAGGATGGGCCTGGATGCTGAGCGCTTTGTTTATGGAAAGCACCTTGAAGAGAAATGGAAGGTCGGTTCCAAACCGATGGGATATCGTTTCTGATAGTAAATGAGGTTTCTCTTGTATGATTTTGAGAAGAGGACGATTCGTGTTAAAGTCGTGCGAAGGGAGTGTTGGATGAGTACCCATCCATAGCTACAATAAAATTAGATGTTTTACATCAATGAAAACTGTTGACTTGACTGCGCTAGAACCTTTTCCTAGAATGCGACGTACCTCCGCGTATGGCTGATCGTATGCAAGTAATGGGTTTGCTAGTGATCCTGATATAGCAAGTTTGCGGACGAGAGACTGATTTCCACATTTTCCTATAACCTCCATGTTAACCATACTGATACAGTCAAGTTTTAGAGGCATTTCCACTGAAAACTTACCCCATATGTTATGCTGCGTCTCTAAATTGTCTCAGTGTTAACATTTCATTGATTTCAACGTAGATTTGCCGCATTTACTCACGATAGCGTAGCCGTATGAGATGGCTGGCGGATTCTGACATCTTTAATAGAGATTTTCAATTCCGATATCCTCGGCGTCGTTTCTTTGTTCTCCTGCTATCTTTATGAAATATCATACGTTTCTTGTATCCTTTACCTTGTCCTGCAATATATTTTCTGGACCCCACCAGCTACGAAGGCATGGTGTCACGCGAACCTTCGAGACACGGGATCGAAATTAAACTAAGAACGCCTCGTAACAAGGATCGGAGCATATCTAAGTCCTTTACGGAGTATGATTCGCCGCTTCGAAATGCATCAAGTGCAATGTTTCAAGTATTTGCGGCACATGCTTACTCCCCCGGCCCTCCCGCCCCCCAAAATAAATGTAAGAAGGCGGCCCTTTGACCAGGGGTTTTTGTATAGCAAACGGCCGTGCCAGCCTGGTTGCGCTAATATTAGAGTGGAGGGACCGATTCACGCAGTGGGGCTGTGCTTACTGTGCTCGCTGTGCTCCTTTAAGCGAGCTCTTCTTGCAAATCACAGTTTAATCTAAGACTTTTGATTCGCCGCAATTTTGTAGTACTTTTGATCACGGCCCACTGCGTTCCTAATGGCAGCTGAACGGGTAGGGTTATAACTCCCGCACACTTTCTCTACTTCTCCCCCGCCTACTTACATTAACATCAGATATCGTGCAATGTCTACGGAAACTACTTTATACGGCCCTAGAGGGCTTCACCTGAACCCACTAAGACCTAATGCGCTCTCGGTACCCGCCCTCGATGGGCTTCGAGGTATTGCTTCTTGCATTGTATTCATCTTCCATGCTCTGTCAGCCTATTCACCTATGGTATACTACGGATACGGCGCAGGAGACAACCTATGGTTCCATCAACTTCCGTTTCTACGTCTCATATACGCTGGCCCTACAATGGTGCTAATATTTTATATTGTTTCCGGCTATGTCCTGGCTCTCAAACCACTCATGCTAATACGACACGAGCGTTGGGATCAGGTCTTCCACGGCTTGTCCTCTTCTATCTTCAGACGTGGGCTGCGCTTGTTCTTGCCAGCTCTTATTTCAACATTCGCCATTATGCTGCTCCTATATGCAGGCTTTTTCCAGTACATCTCAGACAAAAGTGCTGAGAATGTTGGATTTCGGCTCTCAGAATTTGACTTACCCGCACCCCGCCTTGATACCTTTGAACAGCAATTCAGGCATTGGTTATATTGGAGCTGTACGATGATGAATCCTTGTACTTGGGATAGATTTTACAATCCCTATAACCCCCACCTCTGGACACTTTCCGTGGAATTCCGAACCTCCTTCATTCTGTTTCTATCAATCCTAGCCTTAGCCAGGACGAAAATGGTCTTCCGTCTTCTTGTACTCACGGCATTCATATGGACCTTCGCACTGTATCGAAAGTGGGAAGTAGCAACAAGCATCTGCGGAATGATCCTCGCTGAAATCGATTTGCACTCCGGGAAATTCGATGCCAAGAATACAATGCTCATGGAAAGTGAAAAGAGTGGGAGTACATGGAGGCGAAGACTTGGACAAATTTTGTTCTTCATTTTAGGACTCTACCTAGCCTCGTACCCAAAATACAGTGGTGATCAAGCTCTTGGATTTCGAACTCTCTCGAAACTAGTACCGCACCAATTTGAAAAGGACAAGGACAAGTGGTGGCAATCAATTGCTGGCATGATGATTATCTATTCGCTAAATAACGCGCCTGACATCCGATCAATTTTCACCAGTTCCCTTGTACAGTACTTCGGCCGTATTTCTCTCTCCATCTATGTTGTTCATGGTCCAGTTTTACACACCCTTGGCTTATCGGTTATGAGTGCTTCTTGGAAATATACCGGAAGGGACACTCCTACACAGAAGTCTCTCAGCTTCTTTGTCTCAGCTGCGGTTGTTCTACCAGCTGTGGTTTGGGCAGCGGAAGTTTTCCAGGAATCCGTTGAACTTCCCTGTGCGAAATTCTCAAAGTGGTTCGAGACGAAGGTTACATCGAGTGCGATAGATAAATATTGAGCTAATCTTATCCAATAACAATTACGTCGAATTGAATTTTTTTAGTGAAGAATAAAGGGGGAATATTCATGTAAGAACGAACTTAGACGGAGCAATCTTGTCAGATTGGATTTTGAATGAGGCATTTGGGTACAGAACTAGAAGAAGTAATTTCCTGAAATTGTTGCCAAATGTAAATATAATCTAACAACCCTCAGACGGGCCACTACTCTCTAGTATTCTTCCTTGATCTAAATTGTAGACTCGGTCCACTCGTAACAGACTGGATATATTATGAGCAAGTATAATTGTTGTCCGCGCCTTCGAAGCCGATTCCAATGCTGTAAGTACATGGTTGACGGAAAGCGCGTCTAATGATGCCGTAGGCTCGTCCAGTAGCAAGATTTTGGGATTTCGTATGAGAGCCCGGGCGATCACGAGACGTTGTTTTTGGCCTGTTGATAACGAAGTGTTGTTGCACGAAGTCTCAAACCCCTCTGGCAGCGACTGAATGAAATCAAGAATGTTTGCTTCCCGGCAAGCTTCTTCCATATCTTGATGGGTAACGCTTGAGGGGTCTGAGGCCCCAAGCAGAATGTTGAACTGTATTGTGCCAGGAAAGAGAACCGGATCTTGTGGAACGAGGGATATTAACGAGCTGTATGACTGAGAGTCAAGTGAACTGACGTCAATCCCACCAATTTTAACTGTTCCTGAAGACGGGGTGAAGAAGCCGCAGAGCAGGCCAAGAATTGTGCTTTTACCGCTACCCGAAGCTCCTACAATCGCGATGTGCTGTCCTGGCTGAATTGTTAAATCGACATCAGAAAGAACTAGCCTCTCTGGTCGAGCCTGATAGGCGAAGAACACATTCTCAAAACATATCGAATACGTCTTTGGCTGCAGTCGTAATCGATTAGGATGATTGTGTTCCTTTCTTCCACTCTCCCACGTCCCTAATTCAACCAGCGAAGCAGCAGCTGTACTGAGGCCATTAGCGGGCTAGCGGACAAATCCGAGAAGCGAAAAGTGATTTTCTGATTTTCTGATTTTCTGATTTTCGCGCCCACACCTCACTAAAAAAAAAAAAAGTACAGCATACACGCCTTATTCTCGACTACTCCTAATCCCCCCTTAGCTTGCGTGGTCCGTAAGGCAAATCCCATGGATTATAAGGCATATCTCCATCTCCCTTACTCTCTATATTCTCTATACTACTTATATTACTCGAATTATCTATATCTTCTTCGTTCCCTTCTCCTCTAGTATCCTTACCCTCCTCTGCTATAACCTTCTTTCCTATTGCCTTCTAACCTTGTATCTGTCTTTATACTCGCTTTCTATATCTTATAGGCAGTTAAGGCTTTAGTATAAAGGGTTTTATAGATACGGAGCAAGGCTTTCTAGACTTGATAAGATTAGTATTAAGTTAATGGAAAATATAAACTTTACTATTATTATTATATTTATAATTTATATAAGTACTATTAAATTCGCCTTCTATAACTATATAGTATTTAAAAGGGCCCCTTGGTCTCTTCTTATTACTATAAGTAGTATAAGCTTAAGAGAATTCGGTTCCGTAAATATATATCAAGCTTGCCTCCAGATTTATCTTATCTTTCTCTAATTCCTTTAGCTTCTTGCCCTAATATAGCTCTATCTTTCTAACTTTAGTCTTATTATTAATTCGCTTTACTACTTTAGTAGTATTATCGGGTAATATAAGGAAATTAAAGTATTATTATAAAAAAGAAGGAAAAGATTATATATAAAAAGAAGATTAAGAAATAAAGGGGTTTATTAATTAAACGTATTAATAGGAGAGGATATTATAAACTGAGTCTAAATTATTAGAAGATATATTATAAATATTATCTTTTTACTTATTTATAGCTTTATTGCCTTTTCTATTACTTTTACCTTTACTAGAGCTATTACCTAAAGCCATATTTAATATATCTTTAATAAAAGAGAGCTTTAATAATAGTATTATATATCGGAATTAAAGTTATTTTCGGAAAGAAATTAAGATTAAGATTAATATTAAAGCTAGTATAACTATATCTTTATTATTTACCTTTGAAATATAAAGATATATATTTAATATAATTATTTAAATCCGAATAAATTTATAATAAATAATACCTAAAAATAGAAATATTAGTACTTAATAGCCCTAGATTAAATATATTTAAATATTAAAAAAATTATAATTTTAAATATTATAGTTATAAAAATAAAGATATAAATATTCTTTTTTTTACTAACTTATAAAAGCTAAGATATACTAATAATAATTAAATTATACTTAACTTATATAATTAGCTAATTTACTTTACTAATTATAAATAATTCAAGGTAATTTAAATCTCTTTAAATCTCTATATATAGCTTATTATATAAACTTTTATATCTCTATATTTAGTAATACTATAATTATAATTTTTAGATAAGAAGAATTTCCTTATTCTAGTATATATAATTATATTTATTTCTTATTTTTCGAATATATAATTATTAAATTAGAGAGGCTCAAGAATTCTAAGTAATACTTTTTCCTAAAAGATATATATTCTTAATAAATAGTAAAAGTAAATATAGAATTATATAATAATATAACTATCCTATACTAGTAACTTTATTTTCTATAAAACTATAACTCTATTCTATTTTTGCTCTAAAACCTCTATTCTTCTTCTATATTTTTTCGACTTTACTATTAATACCAAGAGCTTCTGCCCTCTACTAATACCTTCTCTATTAATATCTTTATTAATACCTTTATTAATATCTCTATTAATACCAAGAGCTAGTATCTGACTACCTTATAACCTTCCTCTTCTCCTCCTTACCCCTCCTTACTCCTTCTCCTTACCCCTCTTCTAAATCCCTTTTCCGAATCCCTTCTCCTTTAATACTTCTTCCATTAATATCAAGAGCTAGTATCTAACTATCTTATAACCTTTCTCTCCTCCTCCAAACCCCTCTAAACCCCTCCTCCAAACCCCTTCTCCTTTAATACTTCTACTAATAATACTAAAAGCTAGTATCTAATTACTACTTCCGGGTTACTTTTATCTAGAACTCCTATACCATAAGTCTTTAACCCACTTGCTCCTTAGAAAGCTAAATTTTAGATCTTTCCTCCCCTTCTCTAATATCTCCTTCTCTCCTTTTCTAATACCTCTTATGCCTTTAGGCCCTTTGGGAGTACCCTCTCTCGAACTTCCAAAAAAGAGGCTAACTCCTATTTAGATTCCTCCGAACTTTAATACCTTCTTTCTTTTTTTAATACTTATAAAAGCCTTCGGGCCGCTATTAAGTATCCCTATTCTTTATCTTGAAATATATACTAACTTATTCTTATAGGAAATAGCCCTTCTCTCTCTAATCTCGACTCTTTTAATATATACTTCTTGCCTTTGGGCTATTTAGATATTTCTCTATTTGCTTTTACGAAATATATACTAACTTACTTTTTAGTTCCTCTTGCCTTACCTCTTCTTTAATATTACTATATATATACCTAGTTAGTACTAGTTCTTATAACCTATAGTTAGGCTTTCTATTTATTAAATATCCAGGTATTTTGTTTTACTTTTACTTTATATATTTTATTTTATATACTTTACTTTTCTTTTATTATAAGTTAGGACTCAAATAGTATTTACCTTAAGTACTTATATTCTCGGGTATATAAGATTCCTATAGATCTTTCGGGATTATAAACCAGCCTACTTTAGTTCGGGGAAGCTTCCTTAAAAGTATTCCAGAAATTATAGTATTTACTATAATTCTTCCTAAAAATTAATATAGTATAGGTATTTCTGGTTTATTCTCTCTCTATAAAGCAAACCGCTACCCTAAGTTCATATAAAAGTCCTAATTATTTCTCGAGTTAAAGTATAAGTACTTCTTATTTCTATTAAATTAGGTATAAAGAATAACAGGCGCCTTCGGGCTAGACTATAATACTAGTTAAGTACTAAGACTTCCTATACCTATCTTATAAACTTATAGTTCGAGATATATTATATTTAATAGGGCTTTTATATCTAATTACTTTATACTATAGTAAAATATCTTGGTATTATAATTAGGGAAGTTCTGCTTTATAATCTTATCTACTACTTATAGATTTTCTAGCTAATAAGTCTTAGCTAATAGCTAAGAAACTTATTAGCTACTTTATCTAAAGCCTCTAGGAGCGGGAAGTTGCCTTAATAAAGACTTAGTATTAAAAATAGGTTTAACTAATTAATCCAAACAAGAAGTTTATAGTAGGAGTCTCTATATATAGGTAATTCCATATAATAAACTCAAGTCTCTATCCCTGGTTATATAAGTAAGTTATATAAGAAACTCTTTCTGGCCTATTAGAATAGTCCCTATCCCTAGTTATATAAGTCATAATATATAATAAACTCAAACTTTTCTTGGGTTATCTTTAGAAAAATTAGTAAGCTTTTCTAGATAGATTTATTAAGGCCTTAGTTTTCAAAGGTATTAGTTCAGCCTTCTCACTTCCCTCTTAAGTAATAGTTCGGCTCTCAGGAATTATATGCAAATATTAGAATAAATAAGGAAATATACTATATATACTTTCTGGATAAATTAGGATAGAACCTATAGAATTCCCGTAATATTTTTATTAAATCTATAGTACTAGCTAGTAAAGACTTTAATAACCTTAATAAGACTTGAATTACGAGCCCGGCCCTCAGATTTCCCGCTTAACTTAAAGGTTAAGTAGTCTATAATAGGTTACCTATTATAGAATATATTATACTCTTTTCCCAAAGAGTACCGGGTACTAGTAATAGTCCAGAAGCTCCAAAGCCCTTGAGACTCTTCGTAAGTTTCGGGCTTTAGGGCTTTTCTATAGCTAGCCAATTATATAAAGTTATATAATTATACGGGTCTGGTATTAATATAAAGTAATTAGTAACTTTATATATAGATATAGTATAGTTTTTAGTATAGCTAGTCTAATATATTATATATTTATATATAAATACCTATAATTTCATTATTATAATATAATATATTCTTAATATATCCTTAATATAAAAACCCCTTTATAACCCTAGACTTTTAGGAGCCTTCTCTATACTAAAGGCAAAGTATATAATATTATTTAGGTATTAAACTTAAAAGGTAAAGAATTATAAAGGCCCTAATAATTACAAGACTTTATAAACTTGAGTGAATTTGAGTATTATAAAAGTATTAAATTTAGTAGCCTGACTTTTAAATTATATAAGAACTAATTAAAGAATATTACTTTAAAGTATTAATTATAAATTCCAAGTATATATATATCCGCAAGGAAATAAGACCCAAAATAATACTAAGCTAATTATAAGATATAGGAAAAAGTATATTAGATATTAGGCCTATTTTTTCTTAATTACCTTAACCTTAGCGGATATTTATATATAATTTATTAGACCTTATATAATAGGTTTACTTAGGAGAAGTAAGGTTAATTAGCCTAGGAAGTTTAATAATAATAGTTAGACTTCTGTCCGGAGTAATAGGCAGAGTACTAGTAATAGCCCGGGTGCCTTGGGTTTTACTTATAAAGCTAAAGACATTATACCCGTTAATTCTCTATATCTAATAAGAAAAAAAGATAATATATTTATATTTCTAACATATCCGTTACTACGAAATAATGCTTATATAGTTTATAAGATTAATTATAGTCCCCTCTATTAGAAGAAAGAATAGTAAAATTAAAAAAGGATCTAATAGCCTACTATTATTATTATTATTATTATTATTAGGATTAGCTTTAGTAGTACTTTTAGTAGCACTTTCCGTATTATCTTATAGCTCTTAGAGATTAGTAAGTAGAAAAGAATCCTGGTATATATAAGTTAATTAAACCTAAAAACAAAAAAGAATCTATAGAAGAAATAAAGAGTAGAAGCCAGAATTAAAGGAAAAGATTATATATATGCCTTTATTTACTTACTAGTTTATTAGATCTCTCCTTATTTTTAAAGTCTCATATTTATATTAGCGGGTAATACTTTTCTAGGCTCTCTAGGCCTTCTTAGTCTATTATTTAATCTCTTTAAGTTACTATATTTTCTAAGCATTTTCTAGCTTTTTATAAGTAATTTTAAGATAGAGATCTTTATATAAAGTCTTCTTTTAAGTATTTTCTAGCTCTTTACGAGTAATTTTAAGATAAATATCTTTATATAAAGTCTTATCCTGGTATAAAATAAGGAAAATTATCTAGATATCCTTAGGGCCCAGATATATACTATAGCGAAAAAGGTTAAAGACAGTTTAAATAGAACCTGGCAAGACTATAAGTTCCTGGGCTCTTTTACTATTAGGACTAGTATAGAATACTAGTTTATTCGTATTATTAATAAATTAATAATAGCGGGTAGGTCTGCTAATATAGAAAGAGAAGTAAGGAAGTAATTACTAAGAAACTATATTAGAAAAAATAGAAAAGACTTAATTATTTATTTTAAATTAAAAGCCACCTATTAAAAAATATCTATTAGAATTCGTATAGAGAATCTAGTAAAAGAAATAGGAGAAAACTTATTACCGACTTCTTTAGAAAGTTAAATAATTCTTTGCTTAGCTCTCTAATTCTTTATATTATTAAATGCCTATTTATAAAGAACTAGCTATAAAATTATGGTCTATAATTTCATAAGACTAGATCCGGTTATATTTTGATTTATGAGACCTTAAAGGGCTCCAGGTAGCCTATTACCGGTATAAGGAGCTATGGCCTGGGCAGCGGCCTAAGTAACTCTCGTATTTACAGCCTATTAAGCTTATATAGTAGTATAAGTATTACTAGAAAAGTAATTAGGTCAAGTAATATGGCTTATAGTAAAAGGAAATACGGAAGGGAGTAGTTATGGGGCTATTAGAATAGGAGAAGCCTGGGATAGAGCAGAACTAGTACCTAGTAGCTATATAGTAATAGTAACTAGAGAAATAGGTATAGTAAATATTTCTAGAAGAAAAGATACGGGATAAAAATACTAAGAAAAGCTAGGGATCTAAAGTATCCCAGGTATAAAGAGGGGGGCAGATACGGACGGAATTCCAGAGCTATAAGGTTTAAGTCTATTAGTATTATTACTCTAGGCAAGTAAAGCAGTGGCCTTTATATTATATTTATTATTAGTAAATTAATAGAACTTATAATATTAGATATTATTATACTAGTATTTGGCTATAGGGCATATAGTATTAGGGCAGATTTTGAGAAATAGTAGTACTATTTTGAGAGGTAAGAATTTAAGGATATAGAATATTTATATAGTAAATAAACTTAATAATTCTATTAATATTATTCTCAAAAGTAAAAAGAGAGTTTCAAAAATAATATATTTAATAATAAATAATACTTATCTTAATATACCTAGTTACTCCGTAACTAGCTTATTTAATTACCTTATATTATTAGAAGCATTACTAATAAAGGGCCATTCCTGGGTAAAGTTCTAGACTATTAGGAACTATACGGGTATTCTTCTGGCCTATATATTATTCACATACTTTATATTTATTAGGATAACTTACTTAAGGATCCTATTTTATATAATAGTAGTATTATATCTACTAGTCGGCTTCTCGAACTCTCTTAATATTAGTAACTGCCCTGAGGCTATATGTGCCCGGACTATATATTAGAGCTAGTAGTAAGCTTAAATATATAATTAGTTGCTATTTCTATTAGTATCTTCTATATAAATATTGGCCATATTTATATTATAAGATATAAGCTTCTAATAGTACTATTCTAGTATTTCTCTCGGCAGAAACTCGTTAATATCTATATTAGTATATAAGTAAACTATCCGTATAGAGCTATGCGAGGTTATATTACTTACCCCAAACTAAGTAATTATTAAGGATTATATTATAAAGCTCTATATTTATAGGGCGACCCTAGTACTATATCCCGCCTGGGGGCCTCATATATAGTCTAAATAGCTTGCCGGCTACTATATTAGGCCTAGATCTGTCTTTTCTAATCCTGTGGATATTTCACAAGTCTGTGAACCTATATACCTCGTTTTGGATCCGCTATATATAAAGTACTAGTAAAGTAATCCGGTCCTATAAATATTAGTAATTATAACTCCTAGTATAGGCCAGTTCTTAAAAGTAGTTCTATATATACTAATCGGAATTAGTTATATAATCCGGTACTATAATACTAGACCTAATAGCCTTAATAAAAAGCGGTATAATTATTAGTACCTAATACTTCTTCCCAATAATAGAAAGAACGAGAGGCAGATATAGGGAAACGGAATTACTTATATACTACCGGTATAGCTAGCTCTTCTAAAGCTCTTGCTACCAGGATTTAATCTACTAATTCTCGGTACTTTTCCCAGAAATAAAGTAGTTCTTTATATATATAACTAATAGATTAGCTATCTGCAAGAATATAAAGTATGCTTTAGTAATAAGGGGAAGTTTAGAGCCTCAATTAGCCCTAAAGAAGTGAGGGCAATAGCCCATTTGAGTATAAATCTGAAGATACTACTATATAACTAAATAGGTAGTCCGATTAGAGATTCCGATATATACCTAGATAATATTACGTAAATAAGTATTAATATAAGCGTATATCTTAATCCCAAATAGTAATAGCTTATCATATCTATTAATTAACTAAATCTAGTCCGGCCCAGGTATAATATATTCTCCCTTCTTAGACTATATCCGTTATATTTATAGTATAATTGCCTCGGGATCTAGGAGTCATAATATTATATATAAGCTCTCCCTATAAATAACAAAATATATTAGTAAATAAGGCCTTAACCTTCCAAGCTAGGGCAAAATAGTAAAGTATAGAAAGACTAACCGGGTTACTAGTAAACCTTATTAATGGAAATATATATGTAAATACCGCCGTCTATAACCTATAACCCGCCTATTATTTAGCTTACTCTATAGTATTATAAATAGTTACTCGTCTACCGCTTGCCTGTCTATTATAGTCATGCGGCAAATAAGACCAAGCTTCTTGCATATATAAATAACTCTAGTAATTAAAGCTATATAACCATAATCCTCAAGATCCTCAAGTATTTCCTTATCTATATCTCCTAGATAATACAGGATTATAATCTATATATAAAGGAAAGGCATATCTACTATTTGAGTACGTATTTGGACGTTCTATTCTTATAGTTACTATCGGACCATATATGAATTAACTAAGATTTCATATAAATCTTTTAATCTATTCGTAATTTCTTCTTAATTAATATTTATATGAGCCTATTTAGTAATAGCTTTGCGATATAGTAATAGATTTATTAAAAGTCATAGTATTATTTTAATAAAATCTACCAAGTTATTTTAATAGGGGTTAAGTTCAGGGTACGCTTTACTATTATAACGTACTTTCTAGTAATATAAGTACTAAAAAACTCGAGTAATATTACCCCCACGTGATTTTATTAATTAATTACTAAAAAAAAGTAATTAGCCGGCTTCTTAGTTATTTTAATAGTTTAATTTTCTTATTTCTAATCTCGGGAATATTAAGGAAGTTATTAGACCCTATTAATAGCATTATCCTAGAAGGGCTTATAGCCTGTAGTTACCTGACTACAGTAATTTGTAATAAATACTCAATTTTATATTATACTACCCGGCCTAATTTTGGCACGATTTCACGCGGTAGTATGGGCTCTCACTTCGTTAATTAGACAAGCAAGCAGCCTTACTATTATTGCGTTATCTAAGCCGAAAGTCACGTGTGGGTGCTATACCCCTAATTAGGAATTCTGCCTTGGGGAGGAGGGGGGAGGGGGGTGTGCGGGGCGCCAGTGCAAAAATCAGAAAATCAGAAAATCACTTTTCGCTTCTCGGATTTGTCCGCTAGCTAGCTGTGGGCCTCAGTAAGCTGTCTTCGCCAGTGCTAATTCGGGAACCCGGCCCACCATCTCTCCAGCATCCTGGGCCCCAAATGTCAGCGCCATATAAACCGCGAAGTTCTGAAACAAGTTGATACGACCCTGTACCATCAGCCGCCCACCGTACCAAATCGCGAAGGCATTGACCAAGAATACAAGGCTCTGTGATAAGGAATACAATGCCGAGGATCTCAATATAGATCTGTATGCCAGTTTGGAGGCAACTTTCAAGGTGCTACGATACGTCTCTAGGATCTGTTTTTCTCGTACCAAGGCAGCAACTGTCCGGATCGACGCAATCGCTTCGCAAGCAACCTCTGTTGAATATTTATGCCACTCGGATATGGCATTCTCAAAGTCCTTCAGAACTAATAATCGTAAATAACCTGCGATGATGATGAAAGGTATCACACAGAGAACAGGCAAGGAATACTGCCAAGCAACGACCAGTGAGAAAATGGCGCTAGACGTAAGATTCGTTAGGATATCGATGAAGATGGCGATGGAAGAGCCGTGTAGACCAGCGAGATGGTGGCTATGCCGTGATAAAGAGAATATCAGCCGTCCCGTGGAATGCCCAGTGCCGTGAAACCACTCAATATTCTGTCGTAGAATGTTTCGAAATGCCGTTGAGCGAACTCGGCCGATCATTCTATTACAACACACGCCGAGCGCGAAGGAGGAGGTGAATTGTGACACACACTTAACGAGTGCGATAACGAAGAACATCAGGGAATAGAAATTCGCGGAATCTCCAAAGGAGGCGTCCTGGGGTGAACCTGATAGAACGAGCATTTTTGCGAATAGGAAGGCTTGTATGGGATAAATGGCACCACATATAATGGAGGCGAGAAATCCAAGTATGATCAGATGTATCTCTGGTCCGTTCAATCTCAGTACTTGAATGAAGTAGTGAGTAATTCCCCATTCTGGCTTTTCAGTCTGTTTAAGGACGTCAACTGGGGGTGGCGAACACCTCGCATTATCTCCTTCCAAGAACGTCTCCTTTCCTCCAAGTGTGATCTCTGCTTTCTCTCGATCGTATTCTGATGTTTTAGGATTCTGGTGTGCTTGTAAGAGTGAGAAATATGCCCCTTTACTCTGCGACAGATCCTCGTGAGTGCCCTGCTCTAGCACTTTCCCCTCACCAATAACTATGATTGAATCGGCTTTCTTGATGGTATGGAGCTTATGTGCAAGTATTATGATTGTCCGAGTGGCGGATACTGTATCCAGAGCCGCTTGAATGATGGATTCCGATTCCTGATCTAGGGCTGATGTAGGTTCATCGAGTATAAGGACCTTTGGGTCACGAACTATAGCACGAGCGAACGCGAGGCGTTGTTTCTGCCCACCACTAAGAAGGACACCCTTGCTTCCAACGAAGGTGTCATATCCATCCGGTAGGGTCTCGATGAATTCGGAGATCCCCGCTAATTTGCATGCTTCCATTACCATGCTTAGTTGTCGATATGGCTTAGCAAATTCGAAGGAAGTTCCGAGCAGTCCCATGCACACGTTCTCGAAGATAGTTGTAGAAGATAGAGTGGGTTCCTGCGAAACAAGAGACATTTGAGATCGAAAACTAGATAAATCCAATGCTGTGATAGGAATGCCATCAATTAAAATTTGGCCTGAGGTCGGCTCGTAAAAACGCTCCAAAAGTCCTATGATTGTACTCTTTCCGGATCCAGATGCCCCAACAATAGCTGTTGTTTTCCGTGGAAGTATATGCAAAGAAATGTCGTCTAAAACAAGGACGTCCGGAAGGCTTGCGTATGCAAACGAGACATTTTGGAACAGAATATTTCCCTGGATTGAACTTCTTACTTTGGGTTCTGAATCGAGACCGTAGTTCTCACGACCAATAGTCTCTAAAATTTTAGTACTGACCGATATGGCTGTGGTAAGAGACTCCAGAAATCGAGTGACGCGTCCCAGTGCAAGGGTTCCGATAATGACGGAGAACAGAACATTGACGACAATGCCAGTATGTAATTGATCAGATGCTAGGAGCCTAGAACCCTCCCAAAATGCCAGCGAATAAGCCGAAAATAGCACTAGGAAAACGTATCCATAAATAGACCCTAGCCAGAACGACCTCTTGAACAGAAAGCGCTCGGAGCGTCGAAGGAGATCATCATAGAGTCTCGTCATTACATCCTGTATCCCGAGACTCTTCACGGCATTGATTGATGATATAGCATCAGCAGCAACAGTGTGTGCTAAAGAAGCTTGGATTGAGGATTCCTTCACATTATTGGCCACGAACATGGACATGACAGCAGTTGGAATGACCATTGCTGGCAGGATGGCGCTGACTATGATCGCTAGTCTCCAATTTCGAATAAATGCAATTATGAATGCAGATAAAAAGGTGGATAAGGAGGATATGAAGAGGCCAGTCTTGTGAGATATCGTGTCCTGTATGATGTTGATATCACAACTGATGCTCGTCGTTACTTGTCCAGCTCCTATCCCGTCCAGAATTTGAATATCTTGTCGAAGCAATGATTGCAGGTAGGCTTCTCGAATGCGCGTTGCAATATTTTCGCCGGAAACCATCCAGCATACCGCTTGGATGTAAGACGCCACCATAGCTCCAGCCCCAATACCCAGCAAATAGAGAACACGATCATTGATCTCTTGTAAAAGTAGCGAATTATTCTCACTATGACTTGCCGACACAAAGACTTGAATGGATGATCCAAGCACAATGCTCATCAAAGGCTAGACAACAAATCAGTGACAAATTCTTCCATAATCTTAAAGAACTAGGTATGGGGCCTACCATCATAGAACCAGCAACTACACCCGCAGCGCATCCCAAGATTTGTAATAATTGATCATACCGTGAAGCGAATTGCAGCAAACCCAGAAGTGGAGCCTTTTTCTTATCATACTGAACTGTCCATTCTTTCTCAGTTGCAGGGTTCTCTGTCTCACTCTCATCCTCCGTACTGCTTGGAAGACGATCATACAGGATCTTTTTTGGCATGATGTCGATGAATACGCCTTATAAAGATATGGTTGATATTTCTGAAAAGAAAGTTATAGAGGAAATTAGATTGGCTTATCATCTGAATCTTCTTATTCGCTAGCTAGCACACTCTGACAAGCGAGATTGTTTGCCCTTGAGGCTATACATAGGTTTCCTGACAAAGGCCACAAAGAGGGGGCCGTCCCGTGTAGACGGCGTAGATATTTGCGACGCCGTCACAGAATGTTTCAGATCCTTCCGCCCTTACGTATATCCGTAGCTGCGCCCGCTCCTGGTCAGACCACATCCTGGTCTAGCGCTCACTCTGCAACCCCGTGCCGCAGGCATAGTCTGACTTCTAACTGTAGGATTCTGTGCTTCTAATTCAGAGCCATCCTGAGGCTGAGTGACTCGTTCCTCTTCATTAGAAACCTTGCACTGTCCTTTGCTATAAGCCCCCTCCTGAGAGAGGTTATTTGTTTCGCGCGGGCTATATAGGGTTGGGTTATATGCTAGTTTGTACAGTATTCCTTTCCTATAATACCCATCTCAGGACTTTTATCTGCTTGAAGGGTAAGAATAAACCATAAAGCCTCGAGGTCCGAAATTACATTATATATCATTAAAAGATTCTCCTGCGATGACCATCCTCCAGAAAAGTACTCGTCAAGTAGGCATATACCATGTGACAATATGGGTGTTATCTACCTTGCTACATATTTTCTACAAAGAAATCAGTATATCAAACCTCCATAACGTCCAGACAGTTGGACCTATCTTATTTGTAGCAGCGCCCCATTCAAACGATGTATGCCTTTCCCTCTCTGACAAAGAACTCCTTCTCACAGTGAATCTAGATGATCGATCCAGCGATGATCTCCTCCGTGCTTCTCTTCCATCTTCACCACCCTGTTTCGTTTCTGGCAGCTGAAAGAGTGATGAGAAGGCGATTCATTTCCATGATTGCCACTGCAATGGGCTGTATTACATTGCGCCGTGTCTGGGACCGGGCAAATTTAGGGCGTGGAAGGATCTTTGCCCCGGATATCACGAATGAGCCACAGCTCATAAAGGGACGGGGGACCCGATTCGATCAAGATGCCAAAGTTGGGGACTTTGTGATGATCGTAGTCGCTAAACAGCGAATTTTGAGAGCGGAAATTTCAGAGATTCGAGGACCGCAAGAATTGTATTTGAAAGAAGGCTTCACTGGATTGGACAATCCCAAAGAGGTACTCACGGATTCATTGTACTCACTTGCCCGTAAGCCAGAGTCTGACAATGCGTTTCCCTCGATATTTGCAAAATTCAAGGAGGGTGGTGCGATCTGCATGTTTCCGGAAGGAACAACTCATGATCAATCGGACCTTCTTCCTCTAAAGAGTAAGAATCCCTTCAAGCGGAACCGTTTGACATATCTGACTCTGTACAGCGGGTTTCGCAGTTATTGCGCTGTCTTATTTGGCCGCCAACCCTCATTCAACTCTGAACCTTGTTCCTTGTGGAATACACCATACCAATGGGCACAGATTTCGGTCCAGAGCAGCAGTCGAGTTTAGAGCCCCAATATACGTCCCGAAAAGTCTTGTAGAGAGATATAGGAACGGCGAAGAGAAAGGTGCAGTAAGGGAACTAACGGAGATCGTATATCAGAACTTGAAAGAAGTTACCTTTAAATATCCGGATTCTAGGGTTTTAGATGTCAGTATACGCTATAATTCTAGAAGCATTCGCTAATAGTGTACTAGTTAGCTCAAGCACTCAGACGAATCTACGAGCCCAATAGTGGTCTCTACCCCATGGATCAAAAGGCTTCACTCAACAAAAAGATGTTGAAGCTATTATCTGATCCACAACAAGACTCTAGAGTCAAGAGTCTTCTGCGCAGCGCAAACGAGTACGATCTCCAGCTTCGTGATCAAGGCATACAGCACCATCAAATCAGATACGCAAGACTTTCTTGGAAGCATTCATTAGTGCTCCTCTTTTTTCAACTCGGCAAACTGCTCCTCATCTCACCCGCCATATTTCCAGGCCTGCTTCTCTTCACGCCAGTATTAATCTTAGCAAACTCAATATCAAAAAAGAAGGCAAAGTTGGCAGTTGCAACATCTCCATTCAAAATCCAAGGCCTCGATGTCGTAGCATCTTGGAAGACGCTCACTGCAATGGCTGTCACGCCTTTTCTCTATTCCTTCTATACTGCATTATTGACGTACTGGGCCATTCAAAATCAATTCTGCGGCGTGTTGCCCAAAGATATCCGGGTCGGGATTGTTGCAGCTGTTGGATTTATTCTTCTTTCTGTCATAACTTTTGTTTCATTCCTTACGGGAGATTACGCTGTGGCAACTCTGAAATCTCTAAGGCCATTACTGATGCTACAACGACGGAGAAGCTCTAAACAGATGAGAGATATGTACAACAAACAATCTGTGCTGCAGCGCGAAGTGAGAGTACTCATTGATTTACCTTCGTGCGAATGACCAGAAGCTGCCACGAAATTTCACGTACCCTTTGAACGCGTTAGGAGAAGCTGGATGTTTCATAGGCAAAAGGGGAAGAATTGTATGTAACATTAGATAGTAGTTCATAGAATCATGCTTTACGTCCGAACCTTCTATAGCTTGTCCATATTCCTTACGCCTACTAGCTGTCTGAATTAGCAGAGGTTTTATCTCATCTTCATTCTACAACACCCAATTTCTTCTACTTAACAATGCCTAGCTTGAAAGCCAACTTATCTAAGGAATTCTGATTAATATACATTTACTTTCACCAGAACTTTATCATATTCTGATAGTATAAGAAAAGAGGCCTCAGGAGAGAAGCATAATATCGATTGGAAATTTAGAATTCAAACCTAGGGAGAGAAGATTAACGCGAAAGGGGATATTCAAGTAGTTGAGCGTCCTGATATTGAGGTAGTAAATACTGCTTGTATGTGCCAGGCTCGGCGATGATCCAAGCTTTTATGGATTAATCCAGGATCGCACCAGGGATTAGATTAGTTTAGTTAAGATTAAATTAGATCGATCTCGAGTTTAATCCAGGCATAGATCGCACTAGGAGCCTGAACACCCTCCTAAGGCCCTAATAAATATAGGGGCCTTATAGGGTCCTTCACCTTAGTTCTCTAATTAATTATATAACTACTAATAATTTAATAAAGTTTTAAGCTGCGTAACTACTCTACTTACTCTCCCCTCTCTATATATAGTTTATAAAGGATTTAGTATATATTTTATCTCGATGCGGTAGTTTAAAGAAGGGTAGGAGAGTTTTAATAAGGCCCGCGAGGCTTGCTTCGACTCTTAGCGAGCCTGGATTAAACTTAGGATCGATCCGGCCGATACTTAGTAATCTAAGCCAGGATTAAACCGAGATCGAACCCGCACGGATTATCGCCGAGCCTGGTACGTGCCTAGAGCGTCAATAGATCAATTGCTTTTATTAGAAGCTAATATCTAATGTGGTTGATTTTTAACCATATTATGTCCCTGAGTAGTGGGGTTAGAGAGGGGGCTATATCGCTCGCTAGTAAAGTACCTTATCTCAACTCCCTACTCGTAAATTAGGGGCGTAATAAGACTATTTTAGGAGTGGAGGTCAGTTTGAACACTAGAATAGTGGCAGTGGATTGCCAGGATGCGGGCCGTTCTGAGTCTGCTATCAAGTTCCGCTCACGTCATCTCCGTGAGCGCTAAGCATCCATTGCGTTGTACAGTAGAGTAGTTGCAGGGGGGGAGAGAGTGAAGGGCGAAGATTATGCACCGTAGGAGGTCATGGGTCGGGATGCTGTAGAAGCTAAAGGGGGCCGGCTGGAGCTCCTGCCAATAAAACATGGCTTGTCGACGACGACCCTGCTGCAGACCATATCGTCCGTTATATCTATGGTTTCAGTGGCCGAGCTAAGTATAGTTGCTTGGGGTGTGGGTGACAAAGCTACACTACCAAACTCAGAAGCCTCCTAAAATAGGTGCTAGTCAAAGGAAGGTCAGCGGCCGTCAATATTTTTCGCCAATCTGCAAGAAAGAGCCCTTATCTCTATTTCATACATACCATTTAATGTGGCAAGTGGACCTAGAAAGCATCTCATCTTCTCAAGACACTGATATTCGCCCAAAACCTACAGAATCTAGAAAATGATTATAGTGACAGGCGGTGCCGGCTTTATTGGCTCCAATATAGTGAAGGCGCTCAATGAACGTCAACACAGAGATATTGTGGTGGTCGATGACCTGAGTGACGGTACAAAGTTTGTCAACTTAGTGGACTGCGAGATTATGGACTATCTCGATATTGACGAGTTCCTGAAGGCTATTATTGGGGATACGTTATCGACTCCGGATATTATCTTCCACAATGGAGCCTGCTCCTCAACAACGGAGCAGAATGGCAAATACATGCTTCAGAACAATTTTACTATGTCCAAAGAATTGCTTCATTTTTGCAATAGGCGCAAGGTGCCTCTGATCTATGCTTCCTCCGCAGCCGTCTACGGCGACAGCGGCAACTTCGCCGAAGATTCGCAATCAGAATCACCACTCAACATCTACGGATACTCGAAGCTGCTCTTCGATAGGTATGTGCGAGCTCATGCCAATGAGTACAGCACGCAGGTAGTCGGACTCCGCTATTTCAACGTTTATGGGCCACGCGAACAGCACAAAAAGAATATGGCTAGCGTTGCTTACCACCATCACATGCAGGTACAGCGCGGTGAGAACCCAAGACTATTTGGCGAATATGATGGATGCGAGGCAGGCTTACAGAAGCGGGACTTCATCCACGTTGACGATATAGTCGAAGCCAACCTCTGGTTTTTCCAGCATCCTGAGGTATCTGGGACGTTCAATGTCGGCACTGGGCGTGCAGAACCATTCATAGAGATTGCTGCTGCAGTAATCAGCTTTTATGGAAAGGGCAAAATTGAATTTGTCGAGTTTCCAGAGCTGCTTAAGGGATCTTATCAAAGCTACACATGCGCCGATATATCCAAACTACGGGATGCAGGCTTTGACCACGAGTTCAAAACCGTGGCACAAGGTGTTCGAGCGTACATGGAGTGGCTTAATCGCTAGGTTAAAGAAAGAGACAGAAATGTGAAGGGTTGGACCCTTGGGTGTTGGACGCTTGGGTGTTGGTCTTGGTGCTGTGCAACCATTGTTCAAAGGCCTTATCTGTTTCCTTTCCTGAGAAACTAGCATTCCTTCCTTAGTTTAATCTTTTTGTATCTAGAGCGTGGTTCAAATTATCGAATCATCTTGACTCCGCACCCTATACAAGTGCCGGGGAATTGAGCATCTGGTTAGCTACGATGGCCTTTACTGTCTCTAGCCACAGTGCAGCTATAGCACCCGCCGTCTCCCCAAGATGAAAGAGCATCGGGCTGCTTATTATAAGACCGAAGCAAAGTCGCACGACAGCGGCCATTCGTGGAAAGAGTGCAAGCTGCAGACATACTTTGCCGCCAAGGGCCGCATTGATTACTTTGTTGTAGTGGATACAGAGAAGGGCAGGGCCAGGGGAACAGCTAGGGGCTCTCCGTTATTGACAGAGCCCGAGAAGGAATTATTTATGAGGCTAGAGAAGGATTATAGGGATGTAAAAGAGGATATCGGAGAGCAGGCAGGCATTGTCCACGATTTCGGGGATTTCAAGTCGGAGAGGGTTCCCTGGCTCGAGCGGTTAACGTTCCCATCTCATTTGGTCACGCTTAAAGGACGAGGAGATCTGGAGCTCGTATAGGCTGCCACCGATGAAAGAGCTTGACGCGGGTAGTGGGGATGCTGAGAATCCTAATCTCGTCCGAATCTTAGTTGAAGCTAAGGCTGTCTTGAGAGACGTATACCAGTTATGTAGCGACACCTCGCCAAACCGGAAAATAACCTAGCAGCGGGCCAAAACACTAAACGAATTCTATGTGGGGCCTTCAGGTAAAGCATATGAGTTCCGGTATTTCAAGAACGCGTCGACGCTATAGTGTATTATTAAATCAACTTACTCTATATTGATTTAGCTGTGTTCTAATTAGTCCCGGTGCCGAGCCCTTAACCCTGTGCACTCTTCCTCTCCCCCGACTATAGATTATAATACTACTTAATAAATTCGATAATATTAAAACGTCTTTTCTATTATATAAGATTAATAAATTTTAAAATAAGCTAAGAGAGAACGTGTAATACTCGTATTATAAAAAAGATATACTTAATCTCTTATTTTCTCTTATATTTAAATTTATAGCTCGCTTACTCTTATAAGTATAATAAGTATAATTTAATATAAGAGGTCTTATTCTTAAATTCTTAAATCTTAATTATTTATAAACGAAGACTATTAAGGCTAATAATATTAGTTTCGCAAGTATAATAAGTTATATATATAGCCGGGAAAAGCTTACTTATAAAGTATTTACTTTTTTTATAAAAAAGTATTAAAATATTAGTTTTAGTCCTTTATTTTATTTCTTATTAATTAAGTATAAAACCGCCTTTTTTCCCTTAAATTAAAAGAGTAAATATAATATAAATAATATATTTAATATAAATAAGTAATTAAGAATATTAAATATAATTCTTATTTACTTTTATATATTATATTAATTATTATTAAGTATTTACCCCCGGTATCTCTAATATACTCTTATATACCTTTTTATTAGCTTATAATTACTTATATTATTATAATAATATTTTTAATTAATAAGTTTAAATTAAGGCTATTTTTTTTAATAAGCCGAATATATATTTATAAGAATAATAGCAAGTAATAAAAGTTATATATATATAAGCTATTAAGCTTAAGTAACTTTCTTTTAATTAATATAAGATTTAATATTATAAAGTTAATAATTTATTATCTTTTATATACTTAATAAGAGATAAGCTTAATAATAATTAATTATATAAGAATTATTAATAGTTATTCTTATATATAATTATTAAAAGGTACTTTTTTTTATTTAATATATTTTAATTAAATAAAGAAAGGGCTTAAGTTTAAATGCCTTAAGATTAGCGATTTACTTTCTTTTATATTTATTATAAGAAATAATATAAGATTATTAATAAATTATTAAATATCTTAAAAATTCTCGATAATAAGTTAAAGTTAAATTGCACTTAATATTAGTCGAAGTAAAGGTAATATATAATTATGTGATTTATAACTAAGAGGCAATTTATATATTAAGATTTAAGTTAAGAAACTTTATATTTAAAGAATCTTAATTCTTATTTTAAATATAAATTTAATTAAATAAACCTTAAAAGTAATTAAATTATTTTAATATAAATTACTTAACTATTTTTAATCTTAATTTTATAAGTATTATATAGTATTCTAAAAACGAAATAAGCGAGTTTTAATTTTATTAAATTTTATATTAATAAGTTTATAGAAATTATATAATATAATTTAATTATTTAATAAAATAAATAATATAACAAGAGTATTATATTTAATTATTTTTGCTTTAAGATTTAATACTTTATATAAAAGTTATATAATAGGAATCGCGAATTATATTATATAATTTAATACTTATATAAAGAATTCTTCTTGCAGTATAATTAATTAAATACCTTCTTTTACTTTAAGACTACTATTCTTTACCCTTATATTACTCGTCTTATTTTCTTATATATATATATACTTTATCTTTTACTTTTTGTCTTTATTTTATACTTTACTTATATATTTTCTTTTAAATAACTTATATAAAAGTTAATTAATTATTCTTTAATTATAATAATATAAATTAATAATTATTTTATACCTTTATTTTTATTTATAATAACTATTATTTTAAAAGAAGTATTTAAATAATATAAGTTCTTTATAATATATTTAATAAATATTAAAACCTTTATTATTAAAATTATAATTAGAATATTAATAATATATCTCTTTATTTCTAATATTTAATATATATAAAACGTATATTATTATTAATAAATAATATTTAAATAAGATATTTAAGTTTATTATAATAAAGATTATAAAAATACTTTAAAATAAAGACTTAAATTATATAACGAAACGGTTAATTAAAATTATATATTAAAGTAAAACGAAAAAGGACGAGAATAAGAGTTATATATACAAGAGTAGCGCTATGTAACCTTAAGTCACGTGCGCGGGCCTATTTTAGAATTCCTTATTATATTATATCTTTTTAACTTAAAATACTCCTTAATTAATTATTAAAAATAACTAGTTTTAAATATTATAATATCCTCTTTTTATAATTAATAATAAAGGAGATAATTTAAAATTATTCTTTATAATTATAATTATATTACTTTTAATAAGTAAAAAATTATTATAAACTTATAATTATTTATAATAATAAAGAAAAGTATATTAATATTAATATTCTTAATAGCGAATAATAACTTAATTTCGTAATTACTTATAATAGCTTATAATAGCGGCATTGAATTATATTTGCTATTCTTTAAATTAATATTAACTTTCTTACTAATAAGTAATAACTTAATAATACTCTTATACTTATTTATAATAACTTAAAAAGATAAAGTCGTAATTTTTTGTTTTAGAAATAAGTTTTCTTATAATCGGAAGTTAAGTTAAAGAAATGTTAATAGACGTTATATATATAATTATATTAACTTAATTTTAATATTAAACCTCCTAAAATAATAGTTTAACTTACCTTAATTTAAGGGTTAAAACACTATTACCTTAATTATAAAAGGAATTATAAACTGTTTAAAAAGAAATGCCTTAATCGATTAAAAAAAAATACGGAGAATATTTAACGCATATAGCTACTCGCTTTAGTAATCCAGATATTCAAGAACACTTGACGAACCGAGGGTCTCTAGTCGGTAAAAGACATTTTGGAAGACGCCTCGGGATAATTCAAATTACTGATCATTTACTTGAAAAGAACGATATGCGGGAAACTCCACTGGAGATTACTGTCAAATTGAACCAGAATAAAGCTGTAAAATAGATCATAGGGCAATTGACCAATGTCCCTCAAACACAAGAAGTTAGAGATTCAGTCGCCAGCTATTTTAGAACAGCAATCAGGTCGGAGAAGAGAGACACACTACGGAGCTTAACGTTATGGCCAAATTAGGATGGATTAGAAATCAAACATGTAGGGGAACAAAACCCTTTACACTTTACTATAGAAGAAAATAAAATCCGCGCTATAGATTGCCTTATCAACCAAGGAGCCTCAATTCGTCGTCCAAACAGTCAAATACAGACTGCTTTCGAGTACTTAGTGAGCTCCGGTGTTGAAGACATTATCAATCTTTTGGCAAAGCAGAAACCCGATCTAGTCGGCCTCAATAGCCTTATCGAAGCTGCACTTTACCGCAGCTTTCCCGAATTCTTACTGGATATAGGTACATATCTAAGTGCCATCATGATTTCAGTAGCTATGTACGTAAAGCCTACACGGTAGTCGAAGCGGTATATGACTACGATTAAGAACCTTTTGCAATATGACATGTCGACGGAAGCTCTTGGCTATGTATTAAGTCGCTTTGAGAAGGAGAAATTGACAGGGAAGTAGATTTTAGGGGAAGAAATGGAGGAAAGTATCGAGGGAGTGGAACACGCGCTTCAGGAGCGAGGTGGCAGAAGCTGGTGGAGGTTTCTTGAAGCAGCCAGCGATTGCGATGCCCCCAAGTTGCCATCATTGTTGTATCTTGAGAAAAGCAACATTCACGATCGAATGGTCAACAGCAAGACAACATCTTGGCAGTCGCCGCTTCATCTTGTTCTAGGGAGTAATGCACGCTACGATCATCAAGTTTTCGAAGTATCTTCGGAAAAGAAAATACTTGATTGTGTTACGCTATTGTCAGATCGTGGAGCATCTGTCACAGATGCAGATTCGACTGGGACAGTGTGAGAAATGAATAGATTAGATTAGATTAGATTAATGGCTATTAATCTAATCTATTCATGAAATTTTCTCATTAATCATATTCTATTCACGAATTAATTAAGCTAATTATGAATATTCATGAATAACTTGATTAATGTACACGTGACAGTAGCACGTGACAGGCTAGCCTAATTAGGTAAGAATCAGGCT